GAACGTGCGACAAACTCCCAACATCGCAGTGCATGATCGATGAGTGTACGGCATGATGACCCTCCGGCGAGCGCGTCCTCGACGGAAGCTCCCAAGCTCCACCCGACAGTCGGCAGGATGGTGGCCACGCGCTTCTTCTGAGCAGCTCGCGCTATGAGCGCTCGGCCGCCTCCGCCGCCATCCTGGCGGCAGTCGCCCTGGCCCTCGCAGCGACTGCAGCAGCACGCCTCGTCTTTGTGGCGGCCCTCGCCTCCTCGAGCGCCGTCTCCCTCCTCTCCAGCGCTGCGGTGGCCTCCTCCAACGCCGCCCTGGCCGCCCCCTCCGCCGCCTTGGACTCCGCCTGTGCAGCCTCGGCCTCCGCCTCCGCCGCCTCCGCCGCCGCCTCGGCCTCGTCCTCCGCCTCCGCCTCCTCCTCCGCCTCGTCCTCCGCAGCGTCCAAGCGCGCAGCTTCGGCCACCTCTGCCGACGCCGCTGCCTGGCTCTCCGCCGTGATGCCGAGCCGCATCCTCTCCTCGGTGAGCGTCTCGAGAAGCAGGAGAAGCCTCGCCTCCTCGGCCTTCTTCGCCGCCTCGGCTGCGTCTGCCTCCGACGGCGCCTCGGCAACCTCCTCGGGCTCCTGCGACGGCCCAGCCCCGCCCGCCCCGCCGCCCTTATTCTTCTTCTTCTTGCCCTTCTTGCCCTTGGCGCGCTTCTCCGCCTCGACCTCGGCCAGCAGCTCCTCGGCGTGCCGCGCCGCCTCCTTCTCCTCCGCCGCCCTCTGCGCCGCCCTCTCCGCCGCGCCCGCGGCCCACGCCGCCTCCTCCGCCGCCTTCTCCGCCGTCTTCTCCGCCGCCGCATGCTCTGCGAGGGCGCGCACGCACTCAGTGTGGCCCTGCTTCTTGGCCCACTGCAGCGCGGTCTTGCCACTCGTAGTGCACAGCGTCACGTCTGCGCCCGCCCGCAGCAAGCAGAGGAGGGCGGCGGGGTGGCCGTGGTAAGCGGCGAGAATCAGTGCGGTGCTGCCGTCTCTGCACTGCAGGTCGATCTCCGCGCCGTGCCGCAACGCCAACTCGACCAGCTTCTCGCGGCCAGACGTGGCGGCGCCCATCAGCGCGGTGGCGCCACTGCTGGCCTGCATCAAGACATCCGCGCCGCGCTGGAGCAGCGCCTCGGCCAGCCCCTCGTGGCCATGGGCCATTGCGACCATCAGCAGCGTCACGCCGCTCTCAGGCCAGTCCGAAAAGATGCACTGGAACGTCGCGTCGACCCGCCCGCCGCCGTCGAGCCACGCCAGCACAACCGCCTCATCGCCTCGCCCAGCCGCTCGCTGGATCTCCGCTGGCACCGCACCGCCGCTCGGCTCAGCCTCCGCGCCGCCCTCGCCGCTCGAAGCAGAGGCCGCGGCACTCGCACCCACCGCCGCGCCTGCGCCGCCTGCCTCAGCCGACGCTGCCATGCTCCGGCCCGCAGCCACCTCGCCGAGGTACATCTTGAAGGCCTCGACGCACTCGGCGTGGCCCTCCTCCTTGGCCCACTGCAGCGCCGTCTTGCCCTCCACATCGCGCAACGTCATGTCTGCGCCCGCCCGCAGAAGGCGGAGCACGACGGCGGGGCGGTTGTGCACTGCGGCCTGCATCAGTGCGGTGCCACCGTTTATCTTGTTCTGCAGGTCGATCTCCGCGCCACGCCGTAGCAGCAAATCGACCACCCGCTCTTTGCCGCCCTGGGCAGCCGCTGCCAGCGCCGCCCACGCGGAGTCCTGTGGGTTCATCTCCGCTCCGTGCTTTAGCAGCACGTCCACCATCCGCTCGCGGCCGCAGTAGGCTGCAGTGCTGAGTGCAGTGTTGCCGCGACTGTTCTGCAGGTTGATGTCGGTGCCACGCTTCAGCAGGAGCTCGACAATCTGCACGTGCCCGTTCTGTGCGGCGATCATCAGCAGGGTGCGTGGAACCGGAATGCCGACCTCAGAGGGTCGCTCAGCGAGAGTGTCGGCCTTCCCGCCTTCATTCAGCCACAATCGCACTGGTCCCACGCGGCCGTCCGTAGCCGCCTTCAGGACGTTATTTGGGACTTCGCCGCCCGGCGCGCTGTCAGCAGACGGCGGCGGCGGCGGCGTGCGGCGCGGTGCGTTGGCGCGGGAGCGCGAGGCGGGCATACAACACATGCCGTCTTGGCCGCTGCCGGTGCGATTTCTTTTTGTGCCGTGAAAGGGAAGGTAAAAAACTCACGAGCAGCTCGCTAGGAGCGCTGGGCCGCCTGCGCTGCCATTCTGGCGGCAGTCCTGCGCCCTGGCCCTCACTGACACTCGCAGCGACTGCAGCAAGCAGTCCCACCCAGCAGCACGCCTGGCCTCGCCTGCCTCTGTCGCGCCCTCACACTCGACAACGTCTAACCCCCCCCCCCCCCCCCTGCTAACCACTCAGCGGTGGACAGTGCCCTCTATGTCAGGCTGAGGCTCATCGCTTTAGCCTTGTAATCCGTGTGCGTGCGCGTCAGCCTTTCGTTGCCCCGTAGTCTCCAAAGCCCGTATGCTCCGTACATGAGTCTCGGCCTTACTTCGGCGGGCGGTATTTCTGGATTCGTCGCGTAAGGAGGTTCAAGACGCCGGCCTGTTCCAGGACGGCCGTAGCCGTGTGGTTCGTGACGAAGGCGTTGTAGGTCAGCGCCTGGCAGTCGGCGAGGAGCGCCGGGTCGCTCATGAAGCGGTTGACAATACGCGGGAGGTCAGCAGGCGTGGGCGCAAAGTGGACGATGCCGGCCCAGTAATGCTGGTCGAGTGGGTGCGAGTCCTGGGCGACGATACAAGCGCGGTTTGAGGCGAGCACAGCGCCGCGAAACGCTTCGAAGGGGCATAGGTTGCCTTGTGGCACGCGATGAAAGACGAGCTGGAGCGGGTGCGTCGTGAGAAATTGTCGCATGTCGGCCCACGTCTGCAGCTCCGCCTGTGTCACGTTGTGCCAGAGCGGCGCGGTGGTTTGGGCGTACGTTTTAGGTGGCGGCCGGGTGCCCACGACCCCCACGCCTCGCCTGGTCGCCTGCACGCCGAGATCAAAATCGGGGACGTAGCTGGGAGGGACGTGTCGCAGCGTCAGCTGAACGTGCGGCCGGAGCCACTCCAGGTTCGCCAGCGAGTAATCCCAGAGCTCCGAGGCGTTGTACAGCTCTTTTGTTGCGAGAATGTGTTTGTTGTGAGCGAGTGGTTGCCTGTTGTAGAGCACTCCCAGTGGTTCGCTCTGGTAGAGCACGAGGTGGGCGCCCTTGGCGACGGCACGCGAAACAATCTCGCGCGTCCCCGGCACTGCGTTCCAATAGCCGAAGAGCACGACAACCGGGCTGCCGTGCCTAACGACCTCGGCGACGATGTCGTTCCGTGTTCGCGATGCGTCCGTGTACGCGACGGAGTAGTTCCGTCGTGACAACGCCGAGGCGATGGTCATAAGCACTGGGAGGTAGCGCCACTCCTCCCAATTTCTGTGGTGCGGCGCCCACCACAGCCATACGTCGACGGGAGCCCCCACAAGACGGTACGGCCAGTCGACATGGATATTGTCGATAGGGTTCGCCATCAGTGATGACCTCGCACAAGTCCATCGGGTGCCCTCCCAGCACGCGCCGACAACGGCGTTCGCCGTGGGCACCAGGTTGGGACCTTTGGGGTGCGGCATGCCGGCTTCCATCGCCATGTCGTTCGCATCGTGCGCGGCTCGATCGGGCGTGGGCGTTGCTGGGGCTGGAACGGGCGTGCCCTTAGGGCGGCCGTTCCTGTAGATGACGGCGTGTGACAGGAGAGGGAGCAGCGACGCCGACATCTCGCGGAGCAGAACTTGCCGAAAACGGAGCAGAACTTCCTGCTTGAGTGTTGAGAATTTAAACAAAAGAACTCTCTCTCACAGCAGACAGGCTCGACACAGGTGCGTGTTGAGAAACCGCCATGGTCGGCCATGGGGCGGCTTGAAGTTGAAGAGAGTGCCGCCAAGCGCAGGGGGGGATAGTAGGGGACTTGAGGGGTCGCCGGTTTTGCTAGGTCACGTCGGCGCAGGTAGGGGGGGCTCGTGGCGTGTGGAGTTTTGACACGTTTGACAGGGGGGAGGGGGCAGCGACAGTCGTGTGTTTTGACTCATCGTTTTGGTCAACGAGGCACATCGCTCCGTCCGGTCCAACCGTCGACACACACGGCTCAGGGGAGGGGGGCACTCGTGGCGGGTCGAGTTTTGACAAGTTTAATTTTGGTCTCGCGAGAGGGCAGAGGACATGGGACCTCAACGGCGTGCGGTTTTGACATGTTTGACCATTCACATATGGACGATGGAGCAACACACACAGCACGACAGTCGTGGCGCAAGGCCCTTTCCACCAGCTCCTCCCGTGGAAGCAACACCCTCGCCAGGTAGAGCTCTACCTCAGAGCACAGCGGTATGCACAGCCACCGCCGCTGGGATTGAATTAGTACCTACTGTAAATCCGTTGCAGAAGTCTTCTAGGGTCTGAACCTGCGCCGACTCCAGAGACGCCAAGTACTCAGACGCCATCACCTGCACAGTTGCATCTTCGGACGGAAGCAGCGACTGGATGCTCTTCTTCAAGTGTGCACCCACTTTGGCAACCGAGGAAAGACGTCAGTGCCCACATCCTTCAGCTCAGTGAGCGCGCGCACGCGGAGAGCGACGGAACCCTCGAGCTGAATCATCCAGCCCTTGAGCAGGTTGCAGTACCATTTGAAGACAACCTTCGTAAAATCCTCGAAAGATGCCCTCTTCTTTGTACACTTAAAGGTTACAGACGTCCCGACGCGACGTGCAGCTTCAGAAGCATATATCGTGGCGTTGCGTTTCCAGCGCAGAAGTAGCGTCAGCAGCGCTCGCAAGAACACACCGATAGGACCACGATTGGTTTCCGTGAGAGAATCAGATGCTTGCCTCACAAACTTGTCACAAAATAGGAGAGTTGAGAAACGCTCCGTGTCGCTCGACGAAGGAGAACGCCTGGAGCGCGTCCGCAGAGGACCGTGATGCTATCTGCAGGCATGCCTCCACGAAGTGGCTCATGCGGTCATTCAGAATGTCGGCCTCTCCGATGAAAGTCAGAAGATGCCCCGCTTCTCCTATTTGTGCCTGATCGAGGAAGTGCAGGCGTGCGACAGCAGATGTAAAGGATCGCCTTTCGAAGAATGCGAGCAGCTCGCACGCGGTTGTTCGCATCCCATGCGAGCAACATTCAGCCCTGGCAAGCGCAACAGCATTACACCAAGACATGAGGTAAACGAGTACTTCAGGCGGCAGCAGCGCCACCATAGAGCGCGAGGGCGGCAGCCATGAGGACAAGCGCCTCCACTCCAATGACATTTCGTGTCCAACGAAAGATCGTCCGCAGCGCCACACGTCGTTCGCGTGCAGCATCTCCACCTGCTCGTACTCTTCGTTGTTGTCCTTGCCGAACACGTACGCCATCGGACTCTCCGTCCCACCCCGCCATAACCCGGCCCCCACCGCGATAGTTTGCGTGTGCGTGGAGTGTGCCTGTGTGCGGTGTGTGCGGGTCCGACCGCCCGGGCACTCTGGGACACGGTGAGCACCGCCAGAGTGCTGCCTCCGTGTGCCCATACGCTGCCCACACGGCCGCCCGGGCGTCGACTCTCACACGGGAGAGCGCTCCACGCTAGCAACCCGACTGGCTCCTTTTCCATCTTCAGGCGCCCAGACGAGGGCACATGGCTTTTTGGGGTTAGAGATCATGTGCCCATAGCTGCCCTACTGCCCCGAGTCAACCGCTTTGAAGAGCTCCTGTCTTGGGCTGAGGAGCGCGCCGCTGCCAACGGCATCATTCTGCCCTACCAGCAGCCCGGGTTCAAGCCTGAATCAGTGATGCCGCCGGTTCGCACCCCGGCCGCCGCCGCTAGCTCGGCCGCCGCCGCTAGCTCCAGCTCAGATGATCCTCTAGATCTCCCCCCTCTAACCGCTGATGGGCCGGTGTCGATGCAGCTTCCTGAGCCTGAAGGCGAGGAGGAGCTTAGCTTTATGGACTCGGTGTTCTGTGACCCCCCGCCTGAGGACGGTGACTGACTTCTAGCTGTGTGTATCGCGCGCCTTGCGGGGCTGTCGCGGTGTGTGCGTTAATACCGCGCAAAAGGGCTTTACCCGCGCAGACGCAATTACTCTGCCGCGGTTCCCCTTTTGCGCAGCAACACCTTAAACTTTTCAGGCCCTCCAAATTCGGGTCGGAGCGTAGCGGAGTGGGCCCCGAGTTTGAAAAGGGCGACGGACGCTTGCGTCCTAGCCTCCAACAACGCCTCCCCGGCGCAGAGGGGCCCCCGGAGGGATGCACAACCGACCCACGCCACGCCGCTTGCGGCGGTCCTCTTCCCAGCTCCGCTGAGGGCCCGCGCGTTATTCAGCCATCGCCGGAGGCATCGCCCACATGCTCGTCGGCAATCCGCTGCAAGGCGCCACAAGTATTCCGCCGCCACGCCTCTGCAGGCCGCTGTGCAGCAGCAGTAGCATAGAGAGCGGCGGGCAGTCGGAAGAGGAGCGGTTTAAGCGGCCCCAAGACTCCTCGCTGCAGTCGATCCTTCGCTCGGTGCCGCTTGCGCGCCGTGGTGTCGAGTATGTCGCCCCGCTGGCATCGCGCGGCGAGTTTGGCCGATCCGTTGCGCACTCCCCGCTGCTACTGCCGCCGCCCAGTCGCGTGCTCGAGCTCTCTGCCGGGTCGACGGCCGCTTGGAGCAGCCGGGTCCACGCCGCCGACAGCAGCGACGGTAGCATGCTCGTGGTGGCGGCTGACCTCACCCCGCCGGCCGACGCCGCGGAGGGCGGACCACTGCCCTGCAGTCGACAGACTGCATGCCGGTCCTCCGAACCATCTCTTTCCCCACAGGCGCCTGCCTCGCTATCGACAAGCATCAGGCGTGAACAGCGTCCATCCCCTGCAGCTGTGATCAGGCGTCACCTGCCTCGCTGCCGACAACGCTCGCCTCGCCGACTGCGCACGCCTGCAGCACCTCGCTCCCTTCGACGTCGTGTTCGGCGGTGCTCGAGCCGCCCGCCGCCCACCCCCGCTCGCGAGGGAATGACAAGTCTACTCAGCTCCTCAGGCCACATGCTCTGCACATGCCGCTGGCCATCGAGGCCCTTCGCATTCTGCCGCGCCGCCGCCGCTACAACCGCCGCCGCCGCCTCCTCGCCGCCGCCGCTTGGCGAAGAGGCGACCCTGCAGCCTGCCGCCGCCACACTGCAGCCTGCCGCCGCCCAGCGGGCCGCCCGCACTTGCGGAGGAATAGCCCTCGACGCGGAGGAGGTGGACGGCTTCGTGGATGGCCTGAGGCCGCTGCTGGGCAGGCGAGGCGCCGTGTCTCTTGCACATCAACTTGCCCCTTCCTATTTGTTGAGTGGTGGCAGGCGAGGCGTCGCCGTGTTCGACCACGAGGGGGGGTGGCCTTGGGGGCTGGAGGCGCTGCTGCGGCGAGCGGCGAGCGAGAGGGGCCCTCTTCCGCCTCCACGCGCCGGGGCCTTGCCCGGACACGTCCCGAGCCCGTCTGCAGGCGAGGAGGCGAGGCCTCTTCTTCTACGTGCGGCGAGGCCCTCTCTTCACCAACTTCGACTACGTCCTCTCCGCCCGCCCGCTGTTCGACGACGTGAGCGAGATGCGGCCGAGATGCGGCCGAGATGCGGCCGAGATGCGGCCGAGATGCGGCCGAGATGCGGGCCGAGATGCGGCCGCTGCCTGGCGAGCTTGATGGAGGGAGACCACCCAACGGCCAGGTGAGCGGAGACCCGCTGCAGCGCGACGCGCGGGCGGTCGCCTGGGCCTTCCTCTCCTTCGCGCCCGCCGTCGCGCTCCTCGCCGCCTCCTTCCGGGCAGGCGCGCTGCCGCAAGAGCTCGCCCCGCACCTCGAGGCGGCGAGGCGAGGCGCGGCTCTCGCCCTGGCGGTGAGGCTACTCCTCCCCTTTGCTGACGTTCTCACCTCGAGGGACCTCGTGCTCGCCCTCGGCCTCGCGCGGCCGCCGCCTCCGGCTCCGCCCCCGCCGCCGGCGCCGCGCCGCCGCGCCCGCGGGCGCGGTTGGTGAGGTTCGGTGTTTTATAAGCCTGGGGGGGTGTACAACAGACACGTTTGGACATGGATACTTACGCGAGACCAGCACGCGAAAGGAATGGCGCGTATTTCGTTTGCACTTTTCTTCACTGTACTCGCGCGACTCGCGACTCGCGACCTCACGCGGCGTCCTCGTACATACTGCCCATCTGCTGGCTGAGGTCCCCCTCGGACAAGCCCGTGCCGTCGAGCAAACCCGTGCCCGCCGGCTCGGCGGGCACTGAGGCGCGCGACGGCGCCCCCCCCCCCTTGACAGCAGCGGCCACCTGCCCCTCCGGCCGCCGTTGCTGGGCTGCGAACGCGGAGGCCTCTTCCCCTCCCCCACCACCGCCCTGCTGCGGCTGCGGCTGCGGCGGCTGCGGCTGCTGCGGCTGCTGCGGCTGCTGTTGCTGCAGTCGCGCGATCAGGTCCGCCTTGACTCCGCCCAAGGGCAAGCTCCGCGCCCGCAGCAGCTCCTTGAGCTCGGGCACCTTGAGCGCCGCCAGCTGCTGTGACGGCAGCTGCTCCGACGGCACCCCCTCCCCCGGCTGCTCTGGCTGCTCTATCTGCGGCGACTGCTGCGCCGGCCTGCTCGGCGTTGCCTCTGTCGATCGCGCCGCCTCTGCGGCGGCGCGAGTCTGCCCCGACACGCCCCGCCCCTCTCCCTCTGCCCTAACCTCGGGGGCGGGGCGGGGCGCGAGGTCGTAGCGAAGGATGCGGAGCGAGTCGCCCGCCTGCTCGACGGGCGTGCGGGACGAGGCTCGCAGCCGCAGGTGGCGGGTCAGCTCGCGGCTGCCGGAGAGAAGGTGCGCCGCCGCCCGCCCCTCCCTCCCCTCCCGCTTGAGCCACTCGCCCAGCACCGCCCAAGAGTCCGCCGCGCCGTCTGCGTCGAGCCTCCCCCCCCAGGGGGGGTTCGAGACCACGAGCGACGGCGCGTGCGGCGGGACGTACTCAGAGCAGCACCCGTGCGAAAAGTCAATCAGCGCCTCGACGCCGGCCGCAGCAGCGGAGCGGCGGGCGAGCGCCAACGCGCCCGGGTGGACCTCGTTCGCCATGATCGGCGCCGGCGCCGCGTCTCTCCTCACCGCCCTCGCCTCCGCCACCGCCTCCTCCCACGCCTCCTCCCACGCCGCCGCGTGCCTCCCGCCACCCCACTTGACCAGCGGCGGCGGCGAGGCGCGGAGCAAGCCGGGAGCAGTGCGGGTGGCGATGAGGGCGGCCTCGACGAGCAGCGTGCCGGAGCCGCACATCGGGTCGCAGAGGGGGGAGGTGCCGTCGTATCCCGCGTGCAGCAGCATCGCCGCCGCAAGAGACTCCTTCATCGCAGCCTTGTGCACCGCCTCGCCGCTGCGGTAGCCGCGCCGGTGCAGCGAGCCGGCGCCGGACAGGACGCGGTACAGCCGCGCCTCGCCGCGGTGCACGTGCAAGTGGAGCGGCACGTCCGGCTCAGCGCGGTCCACCGAAGGGCGCCAGCCGCGCTCCTCTCGCAGCGCGTCGCAGGCCGCATTCTTGACTGTCAGCGCCGAGAAGTGCGTGTGCGTCAGCGGCTCCCCCCCTCCCCCCTCCTCGCCGCCGCCCGCCCTCCGCCCGCTTCCGCCCTCGAGGCGGCGGCGGGCGGCGGCGGCCGTGTCCGCGTCCCGCGGCTCGCCGCACTGGTAGCACTCGTCCTTGGACGCAAAGACGAGGGCGTTGCACGAGCAGCACACCCAGTCGCCAGCCCGCATCTTGCCGCTGGCCCTCGCGCGGTCGAGAGAGAGGACCGCGCCAACAGAGAGGGTCTGCTGCTCGGACGCCACGACCTCGCTCCAGCGGACGGCGCGCGCAAAGTCGTACAGGGACGCCTGCGTGTGGACGGCCTCTCGCCGCTCGAGCAGCTCCATCACGCGCAGGGCGGTGCGGCTCCACAGCACCGCGCGGGCGCCGACCTCGGGCCCGCCCTCGAAGTGGACGCCGAGCCGGCCGCACGAGACAGCAGACGCGCCGATCTCAGGCGAGGACAGCTCGGCGGCGAGGACAGGCTCGAGGCCTCCGAGCGTGGTCGCAAAGTAGGTGGACGGGCGCGGAGCGGCGCTCAGGGCGGCGCTCAGGTGGGAGAGCGCGAGCAGCATACAGGCACACACCGGCTTCCGCCTGGGCGTGCTGCTTGGCTCGCGAGAAAATAAAAAATGGAAATCCAAGTGCTCCAAATTTTTCTTGTATGCCGCGAGGGGGGCGGAGTTGCGCCGAAAGGCGAAAGAAGCCGCGAGAACAAGGGATCGGCAGGCGGCGGCGGCGTCGCAGAACGAGGCAGATAGGAGAGCGACGCGACAGTCGACAGAGGAGGAAGGAAGCGACACAACAGTAGAGAGGTCGACTGTCTCGCGGCGCGGCGGCCCCACGAGAAGCAGTCAGGAGACTATGACGTGCCAAACTTGCACAACGGGAGTTGGGGAAGCGTGACGTGCCCAAGATGTCCAATATTAGGGGTCTGGGTGTCAACGACGCGCCACTGCGCAGGGTGTGGGAATATAGGGATATGGGGACACGGCGGACTATTCATCACTCTGGAATGAGAGAGAGAGAGAGCGAGGGAAGGAGAGAGAGAGAAGGAGAATAATAGGTGAAGCCTCTCGATGTAGGTCAGGCCACCGGTCCTCATGGGCGTCCTCGTGCCTCACCTCCTGCGACACGCGTGCTAGAGCTGAAAGCCTAGAGGGGTACCCTAAGCTTGCCCGCAACCCGATCCCGATGATCTGGCCCGCTGGGTGTGCTCCTTTTAATTAGGATTTACATTTAGCCCCCTGGGCCCTGGCCCTGGATCCTGGATGTGTGACTGTGAGGCTGTGATGACTGCACTCCAAGTGCTCCAAGAAAAACTCTAGAATTCACCGCGTAGCGAATAGACACAGACATATCACATATCAGTCACATCAAAACCCGCACTGGTGGCATGAGCTCCGCCGGCCATATGCCTCTATGGAAGACTCTATCCGACTCGGTCCAATCTCCTAACCAGCACACACACACCCCGCCCGCCCTCACACGTCCGTCGCCTGGCTGACGGCACGGATCTCGTCCTGCAGCGCCTTGAGGTTCTCCTTGACGCTCCGGATCTCCGCCTGGATCTCCTCGAGCCGCTGCCCCGTGCTCTGCCGCGCCGCGAGCCCCTCCCCTCCTCCCTCGCCGCCGGCCTGCGCCGCCTCTCCCACCTGCGCGGGCGCGTCTTGCACCAACAGCGCCTCCGCCTCGGAGGCGCCGACGGCAGACGCGTCGATGGCAGCGGGGGACGCCGGCGCGGGCGCCGTCGGCGCAACCGCCCTCGCCTCCGCCGCCGCCGCCTCTGCTGCCGCGGCGACGACGGGCGGCGGCGGTTGCTGCTGCTGCTGCTGCGCAAGCGGCGCCTCTGCCGCCGCCACCGCCTCTGCCGCCGCCGCCGCGCCGGCACGCGCCTCGGCGAGGCGCGCCAGCATCGACTCTGCCTCCGCTTCTGTGCTCGCCGCCTAGAAGGGAGGCTTCCGAGAAAGGCTCGGCCGACGGGCGCCCACAGGACTGGGACCCTCCCGCCTCGCCGCCGGCCGCCGCTGCAAACGCCACCGCGGCCCGCTCCCCCTCCTTGGCCTCTGCGAGCGCGCCCTCCGCCGCCTGCGCCACGTCCGCAGGCACCTAAAGGAAGGGGGAGGCCCGAGACGGCTCCCAAATCGCCTCCCCCCGCCTCCTGCAGCCTCGCGGCGCGGGCACCGCAGCGGCGAATGCGCCGCGGGGCGGCGCCGCGTCCGGCGCCTACAGGACGGCTCCGAGAAGGGTCGCGGGAGGGGCCTGCGAGGCGCGCGCCGCGGCGGCGGTGCAGCCGGCGGAGGGACGTACGTCGGGTCCTCCTGCGAAGGGGCGGGCTCGACGCTCGGTGGCTCGACCCTCGGTGAGGGCGCGAGTCTCATCCCGCGGCTGCTGGGCTAGAGACTCGAAGGGGGGGCTCTCTCACTGCTCTCTCAGCGCTCGCTGCGTCTCTCCTGCACAAGGAACGAGTCGAGCCGCGCCACCGCCCGGACCAGCTCCTGCCGCAGCACCTGCCGTTGGGGAAGGGGGGAGAGGTGCCGAGGAAACGTCGCGGAAGCGGCCCTGAACGCCAGCCACAGCGCCTCGGCGCCCGCCCTCGACGTCGCGCGGATCGCCTTGCCGACGACGGGCGCCGCCGCCTGCACCGTCCCGTCCACCACCGGCGCCGCCGCCTCGACCACCGCCCTCACCTGCCCAGGGCCAGGAGGAGGGCTGAGGAGGAAGGCTGCGGAGGGGGGGGGGGGGGG